CTTCGCTAGAGAGAGAAATTTGGTTTAGAATATGTTTTTGCTAATAAGGGGGTTCACTTTTTTAGTTTTTAGTGTTTGCGATTTCTGTTTTTCAGGTTGTTTCTTGGCTATTATCGATGTAGTCCTCCAAACTAAATTCAGATGGGTAGCTGATTTATTAGGCTGGTTGATTCTTATCTAGTTTGTAATTATGTTTTTTTTTTTTTTATTTATGACGTCTATCATTTCAAAAAATAAAAATATAAAGAATAATTGAGATCAAGAATAATAAAAATTCACATAAAATATCGACTCATACTATCAAGTTACTTTTGAATATCTTGCAGCTATCAATGAAGGATAATAAAAATAAATTTTGTGGATTTAGAATCTTAAAAGTTTAATATTATCATTTTAAGATAGTTTCTATTAGTTTTTTTTTTTTTTTTCTTCTTATTTTAAGAGGATTCAGAGTGGTTCTTCACTTACCGCTTGAGTGACTCGAACTCAAGACCTTTTGGTCCCAAGTGAAGGGTGTTACCAACCGAGCTACCCTTCTTGTCTAGTTTCTATTAGTGTACTAGTATATACACGTGCAATAAATGAGTACTTAAAATATATTAATATTTGGACAATGCAAATTAAAATAATTTTTATTTTTATTTTGAAATTATGTATAATGAAAATATAGTAATAATAAATAACTAACAAAATGATAATAAATTCAAATGTTGCATGTACTTATACAATGAATTTGTCGAAAAAATATATTTTTTTAAGTATATTTTTAAATTTATATATGTATAAACTTGATATTATTTACAACTTTATCTATTTTATTCGAATATTTTTAGAACAGAACAAGTTTTATTGTATTGTTATTATATTTTATATTTATAGAGTCAACATCTTTCGTTTATTAATTTTTAACTATTTAAAATTTATATAATTTAAAATTTTAGAATATTATTAACGAAGAAATGTATTGTTTTTTTAACTTTATGAAATGTAAAATTATTTTATTATATATAATTATATATTCCTTTATATTTATTATTTTAAACAACGTAATAACATTCAATTTTCTATATACTCTATTTAAATCGAGAATTAATACTTCTTAATATTTTTTAAAATTTGTTTATCTAATACTTAATTTTCATATTTTATCTAAAATATATGGAATAAATACATTAAAATGATTATTTTATGGTGTATTAATGAATTTAATTTGTATTATTTTTATAAAATAATTTATATTGTTAATTGATGTTTTTAAAATGATTTGGTAATAAAAGTAGCTTTATTTATAAAGATAGATGAAATTATTTATTATTTTGTATATGCAATACGAATGTCAAATCGTAGATCGTTAAAATATGATTATTTTGATATGTCATATATAAAAAATACAAATAAGAAGTTATAAAGTCTAAAAATAAAAAGAATACATATTTATAATATTTAATATATGAATTAAAAAAACTGTCAGAGTAGTATAAGGAATTTAAGAAAAAATTAAAGTTAAAATATGGTAACTCTCATGCCTAATAGTCAAAAATCAAATGTGAACATGAAGCACAAATTTGTGTCAAATAAATTTACGAAACATACGAGTCTGCTACTTAGACTCAACACATTCGAAAATTATATATATGGGTGATGACGTGAAAAATGAGTACTTATTAATTGGATTGAAACTATCAATTTAAACCTTTAAATTTTAGCATAATTCTACACTTACTAACATTTGATGACATGATCATATAGAAAAAAAACTAAAAAATTCAAATAAAAATAAAATTGAAAATGATGAAAAATCATCATTAACTTTTTAATTTGATTTTATCACTACAAGAAAATGATAAAATACCAACGGATATATATTCCTATGGAATTTCAATGGCAATTCAAATGGATATTATAATGTTATTTATTCCGTTAGAATTTTTAAATGGATTCCAACAAAATTCTAATAAAATTATTCCTTTGAATGATTTTTTCATTAGAATTCTCATTGGATCTTAACGATTAAAACGGTTAAAATATGGTTGAAAAAAAATTCAACAGAAATTGCATATTTCAACCGAAATTCTTACAGTAATAAATCGTTGGAAACATGGTTTTTAGAATCATCAAATTCTATCTAAAATTCCAATGAAAAACTAATTCCAATGGGATATTTCATTGGAATTTCAGTTGGAATCATTCTAAAAGAAGCTATATCATGGTATATTCGTTGGAATTTCTATTAAAATATGCTACCATTGAACTTTTTGTTGGAATATGACAATTTTTTGTATGTGTGTTTATTTGCATATATGGTCCCCATAGAAATTTAAGTTTATTTCATTTTTTATTTCATTTTTTATTTACTTTCAAATTTCTCTAACTAATAATCTTTTACACTTAAATAATTGATGACGCATAATAAATTGTTTATATATGTCACTGATATTTTTTTTATTTATTCAATTATAATGTTTCCATTTATTTTATTATGAATTGTGTTTTTTAAGTTGTAGTTTAATATGTTATGCCTAATAATTTATTAATTTCATTTTGTGGATCCAGAGTTATTAATGGACTGTGTTGAGTTGAAATTTCGACTCATATTTTGATTTTTTTTTTTTTTTTTTTTTTTTTTT